TAAACAGTTCATTTAAAGCAAGTCCAGTGAGGAATCAGTGCTATGATTCAATGTTTTGTAAGTGAGTTAGATGCCACTAACCTCAACAGACGTGACCTGGTGGTCTTGGTAGAATATTTGATAACAAGTAGTATGCGAGCAACTGAGAAATTGTGACGAAAATACGAATGAATATCTGTTCCAAATTTTGGTGTGAAGTTGGCATAAAGTATTTTCAATTTCGGACTGGAGCTATCTCTTCCCGACAGAAATTCGCATTGTTTGCAAATCTGATGTATTATTTATTGTTTTCAGGAAACAAACAACGCAATACTGTAAGGGGATTGATATACTTGTAATCGGCTGAACTGAAGAGGTAGAAACACAGTATTGACAGTGATCATTTTGGTGTGAATACGCAACATTTATCAAGATTGTGTATGAGAGAAATTATGGGTTTGTTCACTCTGTCTGGCTATCGTGAACGCAAACCATAACAGCCTAGTTCAGTGTGATAACAATGATTTTTCACAGAACAGTGCTTGCTAACGATTTCATTCACAGAATTGTGCTAAAATTTAAAAAACATTTTCTCACGGTTTTACGTAGCACGCAAGCTCTTCATTTGTGATGAGTTGAACAACAACTGATTACAAATATGTTTCGAAAACGGTCGAAGATTAGTGATACATTTGATCCGAATAAAATAATTAAATCAGAACACTATGTTTCTGATTTAATGCATGCCAAACTGGTTCATGGTATGTGATTCCAAGAAGTGTAGCACCAACTGGATGCTTTGCTTTCATGCTAGGTATCCAGAGCGAACAGGGCATGATCATTTCTCAGAGTAGTATTGGGCTTATTGATGTGATCGTTTGGATAAGAAAATGTTTCCAACTGAATCGTTTGAACAAATGTTGCACTCCGTTATTAAGTTGAAAATTTCAAATTGTTGGGGGCAGTCTACGGTTTCGATCAATAAAATAATAAATAATGAAAACAGTAACAACAACAAAAACAACAGTAAATGAAGCTAAGTACTAATGGTAAAAATCCACAAGGTAATGTCGGATAGAGGCGACTTGTTTAATACGAACAATAACATTGAGGATATCGATCAATTGGTGTACATTCAATAAAACATCTCGTTTGGAACAAGTCACTATAATTTCCCAAAGGTTCCCAATATGGTTCATGGAACGGTTCGACAGTGGATGCGCATGTTTTTCTGTAATTGCAAAAGTCAATATGATTGATCAACCCGTAAATTCCGATGGAATCCAAAAACCGCTTCTCGATGCGAGCTTGTGAGTAGTGTATCACTACGTGTCTACTACTACTACTGCTATTAATACTACTACTATTGCTACTGTTGTAAATCCAGAAGGCGGTGCTGGTCGCGGAGAATCCTTTATTGAGGATCACAAATGGGAGGTCAGTCATTTGGCATGCATAACACATATCCGAATCAGAAACATGCCTTCGCCATTCTTTCCGACACACAGGGTACTGTATAGAGCAGTCGGTAGTTATTCTTTCAAACATATCCCTTGGCCCTCGGTGGTCTTGTGATATTTTTGATCATTGAAAGTTACGTACTACTCGCAAATGAGTAGTACCTCACAGTACTATCACTACTATACTACTACCACTATTACTACTACTACTGTGGTGCGACATTACATACAGCCTGATGTGCTTTCATTCTTTGTTTCATGCTTGAGAATAACAATGCTGTTCTATTTTAGTATCATTTATACGTTTTGAAAGCTGATATTCGTCGTGTGTATATCAAATTAGGCGTGAACTGAAAAGCTAGGAGGCACTGGACAGCTATTTCGATCTGTTTGGATCTCATCCACAGTACGAATCCATCGATCCCACTGGGGATCGAACTGGGAACCTCACAGGCAGAACACACACAAGCATGTTACCAACCGGGCACCGGACACCGGGCATCAGACTGTTTTTCATTTCCTAACTGGTTTTCAATTCACGCTTCAGTTGCTCTATACACACGACAAAATTTCTCCTATGAAATGGAATCAACTCCTTCATGATTCACACGAGACATTGGTTTTGTTGATTTTGTTCCGTAAGTCCGGTAAAAAGGGAGATATATTTTGCTTTTTCGCTGCAATTCAAGTCAAATCTACACTGGGAAGCATCGCTGTGGTGTCTGTCGACCATCCCACTGGCAAACGTAACTCATGTTCAATGTTCAATGTTCTTCAATTAGAGGCAGAGGGTAATTTCCCGTATGAGCCTCATCACCACAGACTCGAAGATCTCATTCATGATAGATCTGCATACCACATTGTTCGCAGGACGCTGTCGAGCTTCCTCTTGAACATCTTATCATTGACCTCTTCCA